TGGGGCCCAGGTCAGGAAGCAGACAGACTGGCTAAACCGACCGTCTGCTAGCCACCTCACGTCACAGAAGTCAGTTAATTCTGAGCACATAGAGACTCTTTCACCTAGATATCATACTATAGAGACTGTGTCTGTTCTCTGAACTAGCAAATACAAAAAAACGTCCAAAACTATTTAAGGGTAACAATTTAATTGTTCAACAAATAAAAAACTGATATAATACAGATTAAAAATGTATAAAGCTTGGCTTGATGAATATTAGATCCCTTTCTACAAAAGCGCTTTTTGTAAATGAAATGATCACAGATCATAAATTAGCTGTGCTCTGTTTGACCGAAACCTGGCTAAAACCAGATGATTACATTATTTTAAATGCGGCTACCCCCAAGATTACTGTTATAAACATGAGCCGCGTCCAAAAGGTAAAGGGGGAGGTGTTGCTACAATTTATATAAATATTTTCAGTATTTCTCAGAGCTCTGGTTTCAAGTATAATTCGTTTGAAGTAATGGTGATTCAAATAACATTACCTAGTGTTAATGATATATCCCCTGTGACGTTTGTACTGGCTACTGTATACAGGCCACCAGGGCACCATACAGATTTTATCAAAGAATTTGTTGATTTTCTATCTGAGCTAGTGCTGGCTGCAGATAAAGTCTTAATTGTTGGTAACTTAAAAGTCTTAAGAGTGATGATATCTCGGATCATTATCTAGTCTCGTGTTTACTCCATATAGCTAAAGCTGCAAATTCAACTCCCTGTTACAAATATGGTAGAACCATCACTTCTACCACGAAAGACTGCTTTGTAAATAATCTTCCCGATTTGTCTCAATTTCTCAGCATATCCAATAGCTCAGATAAACTTGATGGTGTAACAGAAACTATTCACTCTCTCTTTTCTAGCACTTTAGATATGGTTGCTCCTTTGCGATTAAAGAAGATGAAGGAAAACAGTCCGACACCATGGTATAACGAGCACACTCGCGCCTTAAAGAGATCAGCTCGGAGAATGGAGCGCAGTTGGAAGAAAACAAAACTAGAGGTATTTCGTATTGCATGGCGGGGAAGTACTTCTACTTATAGAAAAGCTCTAAAAAATGCTAGATTTGCTTACTTTTCGTCTCTCTTATAAAGAAAACAAACACAACCCCAGACATTTATTCAATACAGTGGCTAAATTAATGAAAAATGAAGCATCGACTGTCAGAGAGTCACAGTCACCTCAGTCTGCTGTCTCAATACCATGGCGAGCCTCCCCGCCTCCATTCTTGCGCATACTTCTCCCGGAAACTGACCCCTGCGGAGCAAAATTATGACATTGGAAACCGGGAATTATTGGCAATCAAGTTAGCCCTGGAGGAGTGGCATCACTGGCTGGAGGGAGCTTCCTTCACATTCACCGTCATAACCGACCACAAGAATCTACAGTACTTAAGAGATGCTAAACGCCGTAATCCCCGTCAAGCCCGCTGGGCCCTATTCTTCACACGCTTCCATTTCATCATCACCTACCGTCCCGGAAACCAAAACCCCAAGGCAGATTGCACTCTCCCGTTTGCACGCTCCAGATCAACCCTCGGACCCTGAACCCATTCTCCCTGCAGCCCTCCTAACTCAATCCAATGGAAACTCACCCATCACATCCGTGATGCTACCCGCACCGAGCCAGCTCCGCAGGGAGGCCCAGAAGGGAAAACCTACGTGCCATCCTCCCAGCGATTTAACCCTTCTGGGCTCAGTTCATGAAGTACCGGGCTCTGGACACCCAGGCAGCCAGCGGACCCTCTCGCTTATTCAAGCTCGGTACTGGTGGCCCGGTATGGCCAAGGATGTCATCATATACGTCCGCAGCTGCTCAGTCTGTGCCATGTCGCAGTCCCCCCACCATCTTCCCGCTGGCAAATTAGTACCCCTGCCGGTTCCCCAAAGAGCCTGGTCTCACATCGGAGTAGACTTTGTCTCTGATCTCCCTAATTCAGAAGGCCACACATGTGTGCTCATAGTCGTGGATCGTTTCGCCAAGGCATGCAAGTTGATTCCCATAAAAGGCCTTCCCACTGCCCTCGAGACTGCAGAGAGTCTCTTCCACGATGTGTTCCGAAATTACGGCTTACCAGAGGATATTGTGTCAGACCGGGGTCCCCAGTTCATTTCTCATGTGTGGAAGGCATTCTTTCGACTGAAGGAATTACCGTCAGTCTATCTTCCGGATACCATCCCCAGACTAATGGCCAGACTGAGCGAAAGATCCAAGA